CACACACACACACACACACACTCTCACACACACACACACACACACACACACACACACACACAGGTTTGTTTTTGTGAAAAGGGGGGACTCTCCATAGGCGTAATGGTTTTTATACTGTACAGACCGTATATTCTATTCCCCTACACCAACCCTACCCCTAAACCTACCCCTCACAGGAGACTTTCTGCTATTTCAGATTTTCAATACACTCCATTCTGTGTGATTTATAAGCGCTTTGAAAAGTGGGGAGATGGGGTAATGTCCTGAAAAGTCTCCTTTTGAAAAGTGGGGACATGGGGTAATGTCCTGAAAAGTCACCTTCTCCTTGTAATACCTGTCATACCTTTGTCATTATACACATTTATGTCCTCATTTGTCACAAAAACGCATACACACACACACACATACACACTTAGTTTAGCTGAGTTAGTCATGGTTTACTCACCCGCATGTCATTCCAGACGCGTCTGACTGTTTCTCCTGTGTGAAGCACAGAGGCAGATGTTCAGCAGAATGTTCACGTAACAGCCGTGTTCACTGTTATTTGTGTTTGTCATGTTCACTGCAGGCCGTTTCCAGATGAAGCGTGTGTCGGAGATGATGACATCTACACCGGCCTTTCAGACCAGATCGAGTGAGTGTGTGTGTGTGTGATTGTGAGTGTGAGTGCGTGCGTGTGTGTGTGTGTGTGTGTGTGTGTGTGTGTGACACACACACACACACACAGGTTTGTTTTTGTGAAAAGTGGGGACTCTCCATAGGCGTAATGGTTTTTATACTGTACAGACCGTATATTCTATTGCCCTACACCAACCCTACCCCTAAACCTACCCCTCACAGGAGACTTTCTGCTATTTCAGATTTTCAATACACTCCATTCTGTGTGATTTATAAGCGTTTTGAAAAGTGGGGACATGGGGTAATGTCCTGAAAAGTCACCTTCTCCTTGTAATACCTGTCATACCTTTGTCATTATACACATTTATGTCCTCATTTGTCACAAAAACGCATACACACACACACACATACACACTTAGTTTAGCTGAGTTAGTCATGGTTTACTCACCCGCATGTCATTCCAGACGCATCTGACTGTTTCTCCTGTGTGAAGCACAGAGGCAGATGTTCAGCAGAATGTTCACGTAACAGCCGTGTTCACTGTTATTTGTGTTTGTCATGTTCACTGCAGGCCGTTTCCAGATGAAGCGTGTGTCGGAGATGATGACATCTACACCGGCCTTTCAGACCAGATCGAGTGAGTGTGTGTGTGTGTGAGTGTGTGTGAGTGTGAGTGTGTGTGAGTGTGAGTGCGTGCGTGCGTGTGTGTGTGTGTGTGTGTGTGTGTGTGTGTTGTACAAAGAAATGAGCTTAATCTGACAAAACCTTCATCATTTCTTAAAGCAATATATAAATGAAGTGAATAAAGTTTTATTAAAGAACTGACTGTCTCTCAGTGACACGGTGGAGGAAGATGATGATCTTTATGACTGTGTGGAGGAAGACGAGAATGAAGGAGATGATATTTATGAAGATCTGATGAGGACGGAGGAACCAGAAACAGTGAGACACACACACACGCACACAAATACACACAGAGGACATATAGACAACTGTCTGTCTGTCTGTCACAGCAGCAGAAGGTTGAAGTGGACAAGAGGAGCTGCTGTCTTCAGGAGCTCAGACAGACAGAGGAGAAATACACAAACACACTGGAATCAATACTTCAGGTAAACACACACACACACACACACAGACAGATGAAACTTACTCACTCACTCCTGTAATCAAATATAACAGTAAATGAGCTGCTGGTACACCACAAGAAAGAAAAATATCCATTATCCATGAAATTAAATTTGAGAGGAAAAAGATGGAGCCGGACCCAGAGCCCTGAGGCTCTGAGCATTAGGCCATTGTGTTGTGCAGGAGCTGCAGTTCACTGATGATGAGAGGAGCGTGTCAGTCAACCTGAAACCGGAAGTGTTTCAGCAGCAGGGTCTCTTTGACCGCAAACACACAGACACTTCTCTCAGACACACATGAACAGTGAACACGTGACTCACACAGGCTCATACACACGTCCTGTTGTGTTTATTTGGTGTCCGCAGCACTTTCTGAAACCGCTGCAGCCTTTCCTGCAGCCTGTGGACATCGAGAACATCACACTGGAATCAATACTTCAGGTAAACACACACACACACACACACACACACACACACAGATGAAACTTACTCACTCACTCCTGTAATCAAATATAACAGTAAATGAGCTGCTGGTACACCACAAAAAGAAAAACCACAAATGACATCTCCTTAATATCTCGTATGTATCTGATTAATATCCATTATCCATGAAATTAAATTTGAGAGGAAAAAGATGGAGCCGGACCCAGAGCCCTGAGGCTCTGAGCATTAGGCCATTGTGATGTGCAGGAGCTGCGGTTCACTGATGATGAGAGGAGCGTGTCAGTCAACCTGAAACCGGAAGTGTTTCAGCAGCA